GAGGCGACACATGATTTATTAATATGTATTAGGTCTGATGAAAGTCCTATGATGTGTCGAAAGTGAATAACTGGATTTTGAATGAGAATGTGGATGTGAGTGGCAATAAGAAAAGAGCATTCACAGCTACACTCACATCCACACCCTAATCAATTACTTGCGACAAAGACTAATCGTATTGGTCGAAAAAATCTAGTTTTAGAGTAGAAACCATCTTAAGGGTATGGGTAAGCGCGGTCAACATTTGATACATCCATACCCTCGAGCATGATCAAAAATTCTTGATATATGTTACACTCTTTTTTCGATATTTCAAGTTCAATATTTAAATCATTGTATAATCACTCACATATCGTTAAAGTAAGAGTAGAATATTTATTTAATCGGATTTATTCTAAAAATATGATTATGCACATTCTCATTTAAATTTTAATGTTATTTATCAATTCTCCGTGCTGCATTTTTCAATGCTTTCGCAGCGGTATATCGTTCACGTACACCAAATGAAGGATGTTTTTGCCAATTTGATGGAAATGTTTCTTTTTCAAAGAATAATTTTGCATCTTCAATACTAATTCTTCCATTTTTCCCTAAGATATGTAGAAGAATTGAAGCTTCTGTCCACATTGCTTCTTCAATATCTTTATTCCATATACATTGAGGATTGTGTGCATGACTATCTGCTTTGAAATATAGACGAGCAGCAGCAACATCTTCTGTTGTTAAATATTTACCATCTTTAGAAAAAGATAGAAATTTATTAAAACGTTCTTGATTAAATTTTCCTTGTTGATTATTTGATAAAGTAGCGTCTATTCTACTAAGTGAACCATCATGTTCAATACTATCTGGTGCATGATAACAAAGATCAGAAAGTGAAAGTAAACCATCATGACCGGCAGTTTTATATGATTGTTTAAGGATAACTTTCGTAGCCAACCAACTCAAGCCCATTTTGTGCTATAAAAATTAAAAAAATTCATATAATTAATAGAAGTTTTAATACTTGTGCAGCTCGTTGTAGAACTTCCTGTGGAATATTTTTCCCATCTCGTGGTAAATAACCATGATTAGCAAGAGCGTTTAGTGCAGGACATGGTGAACGAGAATCATTTGGTCCAGGTGGTTGATATTGATATTCAGATTCGTTAGCAAATGCTCTGGCAGATTTTGAGTTACCCATGAGTATAAGAATTTATTTTCTTTTTACAACAAATGAAGACACAAATACGATTTGACATTAACATAAATATTTGCAGATCGATTTACTTCATTTGTCAATATTATTCCTTCGTAACGAAAAATAAGAGCAGAAAAATAATCGTGCATGGAATTCATCACCCAATATTCGATGTATTCGTTCGTGAGATTATCGATACTTATTTTTCACTTCTTTCGTTCTGTATTTTATCAAGTAATGAAGATTATTTATCAAAGTTTACCTGACGATATTTACTTTCGTTTTTTTTAAACTTGCTGTATGAAAATGACATTGATCCTTGTCAAATAAATAATTATTGTAAAAAACACAAAATGATCAGATATCTTACTTCACTCTCATTCAGTTTATAGTAATGAAACACAACTGTGGGTGTATGTCTTATTTAAAACTCTACTTATACTCGCACTCATCCTCGCGAAGAGAAAAAATTAGGACTGATTGTACAAATAGGATATTTCAAGACATATGTTATTACTTCTAATGATTAATGTATAATACATCTCTCTATTCAAAAACAATGAGAAGCCAGTAAAATGCTGTTCCTTCATAAAATAATTAACTATTCAATTTCCTAATCCATCGTCCAAAACAATGTATTATTTGCAAAATATACCTTTTGTATTGTATAAAATAGTCAAGTCGAAAGGCAAATGAAATTTTTTTTTGTTTTCTAATAAATTAATCATTTTTATGACAAAAGCAATATTTGTGGTATGAATGTTTCATCGTTAACAAGAGAATACCACTGATAGCTTACGAACGTAATATTATACTCAGCTACTTCAAATTCAATACGGAATCGTATCTTCAAAATAAACGTCAATTTAATGTTAAATTAAATTCTTGAAGAATTTTTTTGTTCGATTAAAAGTTTCATGAGAGATAAAATTCAATAATAAACAGATGGATCTATTGTTTTCAACAGAAGAAATAGATTTAATTTATTGATCTCAACTATATTCTACCAAGAGTGGGTGGGATGTGGATGAGTACGTGTGAGTGTGAGTCTTAGGTTCAACCAAGTCTTCACCGCGACCCAAACTCACACCCAGCGCTTCTAAGTTTAACTAAGGTTGAACTAAATTCACACACTTCTGATACAACGAGATAGATGACTATTTGTAGATATACTGCATCTTTTTAAGGTTCAATATTTGTAATCATTTCTTCATAATGTCTGAAATCAATAAAATAATTGTAACTTGCACAACTGCGATGCTTGTCACTGTTCTCTTTCTTCGATTTATGTATTAGATTCTAATTTTTGACTATGGATATTTGTAGCAAACTGATAACTAATATGATGTTGTTTCATGCAACCTATAGGAAACATAAATAACGCATTTTTGTTTTGTTTTTACACTATACATCCATTTAATTTTCTCGTAAAATAATCAAATACAATGTTAAGAATAAGTAAATTCAAAGAATATCTCATTCGGACTCTATTCAAGCATGCTAATAACAAAATACTCGTCTTTATTACATATTAGCTTCTTACTTAAACTTAAGCAACAAATACATTAACTTCACTGGTTACTACGATGTTGCTATTGATATCTCTTTTCTGCCTTCTCTTTCTTCAAACAAGTAATTTCATCACTATGAGAAATCTATGACGCATCACAAATATAAACTCACGTGGAGGAACGAAACAAGCAAAGCAAACAGCACACTTCATTACACCGGCATATAAGCTCATTGCAATAATCGTAATCAATGTCAAATAAAATGCCTCTTACTTTTCTTACGCTACCGGTGGAAATTGTCTACCGAATTTTGGACCATCAGAGTGATCTGACAATGCTGTGCTCAATGCGAAATGTCTGTCGACGATTTGATACAATCGTTGATAGCTATCACCGATATCAGGTAAACCTTTTTTTAATCATCAGTGTCTATCTTCGAAACATTTCTCATTCTTACAGTTCATAGATTTGAGAAGATATCACCGAATAAAATAATAATAAAGCATACTACTTCAGCAAGTATTAATGCACTCAAAAAAGTTATTTGCATCACCAAAGCAATATGAAAGAAATGAGAGTATATACATCAAAGCAATCCTTTTTTTCATTCTTTTCTGAACAATCCACTGCTATTATATTATTTTTATTCACGCACGGGCAATATTCAAAAGAGATAGGAAAAAATGAATGTCTTTTACATGTACATCTACACTTTTATTCACACATTTTTCATGTTGACAAAGACTGAAGTCTCCACAGGAATTTTTGGGTGAAAAAAAATCAATTCATATGAACACATTACTTCAAGCAGATTATAGCTCAAGTTAACTAACGGCGGATACCAGAATAAAGAAATGTGATAACACTTAGGAAATACATCTATAGATCTTAAACACTTACACAGCTACGGATAGCAGTACTGCAAACCAAAAAATGTCTATTCATGAAAAAATAAGGAGACTCAAAATATACTGATCAGATCAGAGAGCAGATGAGAGCGAGAAGTGGATGGGCGTAGATTAATAAAACTTAACACGGATCTAACGAGACCCCACAAGATCCGATCATCTGACTAAATTCGATGCGAATTTAGAGACGAAACTACATCGGATTCCGTCAGCTACAATCTATTTACTGCAAATTTCATTAGTATTATTTTTATCAACACTAAATACGAGTTTTACAATAATATCGGATTCCAATAAGACATCAATCAGATACTATAAGCAACGATCATCTTAGTGATCGCCCCGGGAACGCAACAGACAATGAACATAACCGAGGATCGCAATAACCACACCGAACAATTTGAAGATAATTAAATTTCTTGATATCATAGAACTGTTGCATTTTCGAAAATTCCTCGCTTTTTTTCTGAAATCCATAGCCTTATTCATATCTCCTGAACACCTTCAATTTTACTAATTATGCAATTTCTGGACCATGTGGAAGTCATGTTATGAGCAAATAATTATCACACGCAGAGATGACATAACCGTTTACAGATATATGGCAAAATTTATTAAAGAACTACCAAACCGTCAATGTTTTTTCTGTAGCTAAACATTTAAATTAAACCTTTTCTGTTATTTCACCGAATTCAACATCTGTATTATAATATCTCAGTTTTGAAACACAATACAGAACAATTCCTTGATGTATAATATGATAAAAGCTTCCTGAGTCTAACTACTTTGATTGAGTATTCTTGAAACTTCAGGAAGAACACGTGAATATGTGGAGTAATATCACATTATAAGCTTCATCTGCAATGCCACGATTGACTCATTCTCTGCCATATTATTTTTCTCAATTTTTTCACTATCGAAGATGCAGATTTGCGAAAACAGAACAAATCACACTTTCCATCCTCATCCTTCTTCACAAGATTTCATTAACATCTCATAAAATAATGCAGTAACTCCTCGTGCCTCTTCATCTATTTCATAAATCTATCTCCACTTTTTCATGCAGACACGTACCACATTAAGTCTCCACTACAATGAAATCGGAGAAGTTGGAGTACAGCATCTAGCAGTTGGATTACGAACTAATATGGCAACTATTATTCTTTTCTTCATCTATTTCATACATCCATCTACACTTTCTGATTCAGACACTTACTCAGTTAAATATTATAGACAATAATATCGGGGATGCAGGTGCTAAACATTTAGCAGATGGATTACGAAATAATACGGTAACTACCATTCTCTTTCTCATCTACTTCATATATCCATTTGCACTCTTTCATACAGACACTTACCGAATTAAGCCTCATAAACAATAATATCGGAGATGTAGGTGCAATGCATCTAGCATATGTATTACGAAATAATACGGTAACTACCATTCTCTTTCTCATCTATTTTATATATCTATTTACACTTTTTCATATAGACACTTATCACATTAAATCTAGGAAGCAATCAGATCGGACCTGGTGGAGCATATCATCTAGCAGTTGGATTACGAAATAATACGGTAATTATCATTCTTTTTCTCATCTATTTCAATTATCCATCTGCACTTTTTTCATACAGATACTTACAACATTAAATCTCAATGACAATGAAATCGAAGAAGCTGGAGCACAGCATCTAGTAGATGCATTACGAAATAATACGGTAATAAATATTCTCTTCCTCATCTATTTCATATTTCTATTTGCTCTTTTTGATACAGACAGTTACCCAATTAAATCTTAACGGCAACCGACTCTGTTGCGGACTCATCCATGAAATCAATGAGTTCGTTGAACAGAATAAAAGAATGGCACAATTATAAATGCTGGTATCGACGATATACTGATTACTACTAAAAAACGATTGATGAATTTTGGGATAAGTTTCTATGTTGGGCATCAGCGTAATAAAATATAAATAAAACGCTCACTATATGTGTGCTGTGCGTTGTAACAATATAATTGAGATCAGATTTTCATTCAGAGGTACCGCTATTCACGTGACGTATTTTATAAATAGTAGATTAATATACTGTTTATTAACTAATTGATTAGCAGCAAGCAGAGAGTGTCTCAAGAAAGAAGAAAAGCGAGAAGAGAAATACTGTTCAACATATGATTTTTTATAATAAAATCTTGAGATGTGAAATGCGATTTTGTGATGAGATCAGAATATCTCCGAATGTACAAATGAATGAGAGCTATGCTTTATATTATTCGATACGAACAGGATCGTGAAACAATCGATCCTCAACTAGCGTTTGGTTTGGAATCCATGCGCATGGTTGATTACTGAGAATCTGTGACTTTATGTGGAATTTCGTGTAGTGACTATTAAATTGTACGTTAGCATCGTGATGAAGCGAAAAGAGTCGAATGAGTTTTATTCAATGTGTGTGTTTGCTAGAAAACTCGTGGAAACATATTTTGAATCTAATTTAATCATAGGACCGCTTTCAATTCATTCTAATAGAAATATAATCAGATTAAGAGGGTGTGAGTGTAGGTATAGACGTGGGAGAGAATAGAAAGAGTAGACACCTATACCCACACCCTGACGTATTCCATGATGAATGCAGATTTAATGGTTTATTTATTTATTTCTCAAATTTTTGCTTAGAAAAATGAAAGAAAACTTGATGGGCGGATATACGCAATTGTGGAGTACCAAAAGCTATTCTTCTTGACCTTTTTGAAGACATAAAAATAGAATGTGATTTTGAAACATTCTTGATAGAGTTTCTTTTCTTCATTTTGATTAGTAGGAGTGTAACTGAAATTAATTAAAAACAATCGATTAGAAAATCTTTTTCATTTTGTCATTTCTATTTCCTCTGTTTTTTTAATCTGCATTATATATATATATATATATGTAATCTTATGTTCTTTGCACATTGCATTTGTTCAACTGAACATCAAACGTATCTAAACAAAATAACGGTATATCTTTTTCAAAATGAAATCCATGTATATGAATACTACCAATACAACGACGGACGTAGATCAATTGATCATGTCATTAGTCCATGCAGTTCATGATTATGTACCTAGTCAAGCGCAATGCATTATACTTCTTATTATCATGCCATTGGCTGTTGCATGCAACTTATTCATTCTTTATCATCTATTAACGGATAAAAATTTACGTAAGGAATTACACAATCATGTTATTATTGCTATTCTATTTTCCAGTCTTCAGTTCAATTTAATTCATGCACCATTTTCCATCAATCTCTTTCGTACAGG